ACTATATACTTCTTTTTATTATTAAGATTGGGGACGAGTTTTTTAGTTTTTGTATAATATTTTAAATCTTTAATAATCTCTTGTTCATATTTACTCATTTCCTCTTTAGAAATCTCGATATTTTCAGGAGCTAACGGATATGAGGAATGGGCTTTGTGTAATTTGTATGAATAATCAAGGTCTACCTCAAGAATATAACTTTTGAATGCGTCATCAGAAATCTTACACTTGGTAATTTTATCAAAAAGAACTGGAGTTTCTTCTGGTGTTGTCCATCTATGTCCCCCCGTTGGCATAGATTCCATCATCAATCCAGTATATAAAGCATTGGCATCAACATATAATAGCCAAGTAAAGAGCTTTTTCATTACTTCTTCTGAATCTGGATGTACCTTGGCACTAGCTTCGCTATTAAAATTGGGGTATTGAGGATTATTAGCTTTAACTTGACGATTACTTACCATTGTAATACCTCCTCGGATACCTTTCTCACAGAAGAGATACATGTTATCATCTGTGAATAACTCTATCTCTTGTCCTGTAGTTTTATATAGAGCATCTTCTGCAAATGAAGGGAGAGAAACATAGTGAGCAATATCTAATCTAAACTTACCTTTCATTAATTTTCGAATCCTTCTAAACAATCTGCTAATAATAATGCATCAAGATTAAGATAAAAGTCGTGATAATCTCTGAATGTTTTCATATCAAAAGATTTCCATACCTCTTGTGCAATTTTATAAGCTTTTTCTGAGCATTTAGATTTGTTGAGGATGCTGTCGAAAGCCTCAATAGGAGGAAGTGAAGTAGTATCCATTTTTTTCAGTGTATTAAACCAATCATATAGAAAAGGGGCTTTACGAAATACTAAGTCATCTCTTCCCTTCGGCCCATATTCTCTAGTTATAGGGAATCTCTTTGGATGGGCAAAGCATCTATCAGAATCGATTCGATAAAGATGACCAGGTTTTTTACATGGTACGTCTAAAGAATTTCCATCTTTATCTACTTCTTCTTTACATGGTTCGGCTCCTAAGTTAGATATATGTGAGTCAAGACTTCTTGGCATAAGCTGAAGAGAATCCATATATCTTTGATTTCCAATATCAAGAGTAAGATAATTTTCTATATTATGGGGGATGGCACTTATCTTTTCTTTGCTCACTCGACCCATAGCTTGGGAAATAAGATAAGCATCAAACTTACCTAAATTATGAAAACGAATTGGTAATTTAAACTGCTCTGGTTTGATTCGTAGTTGAAGGTTACAAATACTATGGGCTGGACCTCTATACTTACCTGTAATATGGTCATGATCTCGAACTTTTTTAAGATTATCTTCTTTTCCAAATGCCTTTTCACATATGTAACATTTTTTGGTTAAATTATGCATTTTTTCTTCTCGAACAGTTAACTTTTTCATTGGTTCTCCTGGCCATCGGAATCTACAATAAATTGTATTTGCAAGT